GTCTGCGCTCAAACCAAGGTCAGCAACAGACCGCCTGCGGGTCTCCTCAGACCCTTACCCATTCCGTCGCGCCCTTGGGCACAGATTGCACTTGACTTTATTACAGGGCTTCCTCCGTCCGGAGGAAATACTGTTATCCTCACTGTTATCGATCGCTTCTCTAAGACGGCTCGTTTTATCTCGCTGCCTAAATTGCCCTCCGCCAGAGAGACCGCTCAAATTGTCGTCGATCACATTTTTAAGATCCATGGTCTCCCCGAGAACGTCGTGTCGGATAGAGGTCCACAATTCTCCTCCCTGTTTTGGAAGGAATTTTGTCGCCTCATCGGAGCCTCTGTTAGCCTCTCCTCCGGTTTTCACCCTCAGACCAATGGACAAGCTGAACGCGCAAATCAGACCATTGGACGCATTTTATGCAGTCTTGTCTTTCGCAACCCCGCTTCGTGGTCCGAGCAACTCCCGTGGGCAGAATACGCTCATAATTCCGCCCCCTCATCTGTCACCGGGCTGTCGCCGTTTCAATGCTGTCTGGGTTACCAGCCTCCCCTTTTTCCCTCCTCAAATCCCGAGTCTAACGTTCCGTCAGTCAACACTTTTATCCAACGTTGCAAACGAACTTGGAGAGCGGTTAGATCTGCTCTTTGTAAATCCCGCTCTATCACTCGCCGAGCCGCTAACAAACGCCGTGTCAAGAGCCCCCGCTATGTCCGCGGTCAGAAGGTGTGGCTTTCCACTCTTAATCTCCCGCTCCAGTTCTCTTCACGAAAGCTGGCTCCCAAGTTTATCGGTCCTTACCGCGTCGTTAGGGTTCTTAGTCCTGTCTCTGTTGAACTCAGGTTGCCATCCAATCTTCGTCGCGTCCATCCCGTGTTTCATGTCTCCTGTCTTAAACCCGTAGTCCGCCCTCCATCTCGTCCGGTATCTGCTCCTGTCCGCGTCGAGGGCTCCCCTGTCTATCGAGTCCGCAGACTCCTCGATGTTCGTCCCCGTGGTCGTGGCCGGCAGTTTCTTGTTGACTGGGAGGGGTATGGTCCTGAGGAGAGAAGCTGGATCCCCGCCCGGGACGTCCTGGACCGCTCGCTCATTGACGACTTTTACCGCTCCCGCCAGTCCTCCTCCTTAGGTGCGCCAGGGGGCGCACTTTGAGGGGGGGTACTGTCATGATCCTGGTTCTTTCTCTCTTCTTTTCTGACTCTGTCTCCATCTGCTGGTTACACGCACTCACACACAAACACCTATTATTACCCACTCATCTCTTTCAGCTGTTCCTTGTTATCTCATCCCCCTCACCTGCTCTCAATCTCTTGTCATTAGTCACTCTATTTCTAGCTTTCTCTTTCTTCTCTTCTCTGTCGGATTATTATTACCCGTCACGTATGTTGCTAAACGCTTGTGTTTCATCTACAGATGATCAGTCCTGTCCTGTCCTGTCTTGTGCTGTTAATTATTTTGTGCTGTACGTTACCTGATTTGTGCTGTGTCCAGTGCTGTGCCGTGGAGAGTTGCAGAGGGCTCTACGCCCCACCAGCACCCTGCTCTATTCTCTCACGATCCTTCGGGACCTGCCGCTTGAGCATCACTCTGCCTACCAAGAATCTTTTGTGAACTTCCTTTGTTAAACGGCCGTGGCGGCTTTGCCTTGTTTCCATTAAAAGGACTGTTGTACCTGCTTTAAGCCTTTTGGAATCTCTTCTTCACCGTTCGTGACAGATTGTTATTAAGGATGTAGCACTGTCTGATCATTTCTGTATTTTCTTTGATATATTGATCTCTCCTGCCATTGAAACTAGATCTGTGTCTGTCAAGAAGAGATGCTTAAATGAGAACACTAGTGTACTATTTATGAAGGCTATATCTTTAAAACCAAGCATATCTGCTGACTCTGTTGATTTTCTCCTTGATTCTTTTAACTCAAAAGTTAAAAGTGCAATTGATGCTATTGCTCCTGTGAAAGTCAGGAAGAGTGGTAGGCAAAAAGCACCTTGGAGAAACTCAACAGCTGTGCAAAATATGAAAAGAACATGCAGAAAAACAGAGCGCATGTGGCGGAAGACAAACCTTGTAGTCCATTATAACATCTACAAAGACAGCATCCATGCTTTTAATATTGAACTAGGCAAAGCTAGACAGACTTTCTTCTCAAATATTATAAACAGCAACTTAAACAACACACGCACTCTTTTTGTTACTGTAGAGAGACTGACAAACCCCCCAAGCCAGATTCCCAGTGAAATGCTCTCAGACGGCAAGTGCAGTGAGTTTGCTTCTTTCTTCTCTGAGAAAAATAATAATATCAGAAAGGTGATCAGCACATCCTTGAGTTGCTCTGGGGTCAGACAGATCAGACCACAACCTGAGAAAGTAGTTACTATGTCTGTTTTCGAAGAAATTGATGGCAAAATTTTGGAAGAAACCTTAAAACATCAACCTGCGCCCTTGACGCACTTCCCACATCTTTCTTCAAAAGTGTGTTAAACAGTTTAGAAGCAGATCTCCTAAAAGTGGTAAATGCCTCACTCCTCTCTGGTAGTTTTCCAAACTCCCTGAAAACTGCAGTTGTCAAGCCCCTCCTGAAAAAGAGCAATCTGGATAAGACTATATTAAGCAACTATAGACCGATCTCAAATCTTCCTTTCATAGGCAAGATCATTAAAAAAGTTGTCTTCAATCAGCTGAACAAATTCTTAATCTCGAATGGATACTTCGACAATTTTCAATCTGGTTTCCGATCGCATCACAGCACAGAGACAGCTCTCATAAAGATAATAAACGATATTCGCTTAAATACTGATTCAGGCAAATTATCAGTGCTGGTACTACTCGACCTCAGTGCTGCATTTGACACTGTCGATCACAACATACTTCTTGACAGGCTGGAAAACTGGGTGGGGCTTTCCGGGATAGTCCTAAAATGGTTCAGGTCATACTTAGAAGGGAGAGGTTATTATGTGAGTATAGGAGACCATAAGTCTGAGTGGACATCCATGACATGCGGAGTCCCCCAAGGCTCAATTCTTGCGCCACTCCTGTTCAACCTGTATATGCTCCCAATGAGCCAAATAATGAGAAAGAACCGAATCTCTTACCACAGCTATGCAGACGACACACAGCTCTACTTAGCCCTATCGCCTAACGACTACAGCCCCATTGACTCCCTGTGCCAATGCATTGATGAAGTCAACAGTTGGATGTGCCAAAACTTTCTTCAGTTAAACAAAGACAAAACTGAAGTCATTGCGTTTGGAAACAAAGATGAAGTTCTCAAGGTGAATGCATACCTTGACGCTAGGGGTCTAACAACTAAAAATCAAGTCAGGAATCTGGGTGTGTCTCTTGAGTCAGACCTTAATTTCAGTAGTCATGTCAAAGCAATAACTAAATCAGCATAGTATCATCTGAAAAATATTGCAAGAATTAGATGCTTTGTTTCCAATCAAGACTTAGAGAAACTTGTGCATGCTTTTATCACCAGCAGGGTGGATTATTGTAATGGACTCCTCACTGGCCTTCCTAAAAAGACCATAAGACAGTTGCAGCTCATACAGAACGCTGCTGCCAGGCTTCTGAGCAGAACCAGAAAATATGAACACATCACACCAGTCCTCAGGTCTTTACACTGGCTTCCAGTTACATTTAGGATTGACTTTAAAGTATTATTACTGGTATATAAATCTTTTAATGGGCTAGGACCTCAATATATTGCAGATATGCTCACTGAATATAAACCTAACAGATCACTCAGATCATTAGGATCACATCAGCTAGAAATACCAAGGGTTCACTCTAAGCATGGAGAGTCTGCTTTTAGCTATTATGCCAGCCGCAGCTGGAACCAGCTTCCAGAGGAGATCAGATGTGCTCCTACAGTAGTCACATTCAAATCCAGACTCAAAACACATTTGTTTAGCTATGCATTTACTGAATGAGCACTGTGCCACTGTTCGTCCGAATGTTTTTACTGTACTTTATTTTATTTTTTATTCTAAACTGTTTTAATTATTCTTATTTGTTTGATTATTTTAATTTCTTCTATGTACAGCACTTTGAATTACCATTGTGTATGAAATGTGCTATATAAATAAACTTGCCTTGCCTTGCCTTACACATGAAAGAAGATCCGTTTCTTCAGATGGTGCATGGGATGTACACTGATCAAGTGTGTGATTTAAAGTGTGTCTGTTTCCAACTTACATTTTTACAAGTTGTTTATTATTCATGCCTAAGTATAATTAACTGCAGTGCAATTATTAAACCAGCCCCTGTCTCAAATAGTTACACCAGTCACACTTTTTCCTCTAAAAGTCAACAAGATTAATCGTCCGGATCTAACAGATGCTGCGATGTGACTAAGATAAGAGCTAGTGCCCCTGCCAAAAGTGACTCATTAGCCAAATTAGCCCTGACATTTTTCATTCCGTTTTCCCAAAAGTAAACCAGCCCCCTGTTGCTAAATAGACTTTAAATATATTATCCGTAAATACTACAGAAATTGAAAGAAACAAGAGTCTGTGTATGTAAAGTACCCCAATAAGAATGTGAGTTTAGGTTTGTGCGTATTTGCCCTGTGTTGTGTATTTGTTACTGTGTGTGAGAGAGTGTCAGCCTCCCTGAAAGGAAGATTTTAAGACTTTGTCCCCAGGTCACAGTCCTCTCAGCCAGAACACAGCAGGTCTCTACCTCGGCTTGTAACTCTGTGTGTGTCTGTGTGTATTTGTGCACCTGAATGCTTCAAAGTATGTATGACAAGAGTCTTTGTGATCTGTGAATCGTGAGTGTGTGTTTGGCAGAGTGGAATCAGTGATTAATTCCCTGCTGCAATAAATAACAGCTCAAAGTGTAGACTGTTCATTTTTGAAATCTGTAAAAACAGGTTAGTTCTGTGACAAATGACAGAAGGTATGTGTTTAGAGAGACCAAACTCTGCAAAGAAACTCACTGTGAAGTTATCTGAGCATGGTTTACACTGAATCTTAACTTAAACTCTCTCTTACTCTTTTCAGGTGAGTTTCTACAGGCTGCCCCAGAGGGACAGCAGACCATGGCTGACAACAACACTCAGAAAAAAAAGCCCCGCTGGACGTCACTGGAGATAGGTCTCCTGACAATTGTATCTTTACTATTTTTCATTATTGTGGCCCTAATCCTCCTCTTCGTCACACAGAGTGGCAAAAGTAAGTGCATGAGATTCATTGTGTTGTTGAGTGACTAAATTACTGGCAGCGCTAGCTGCTTTTGAGCTGATTTTTCCATTGAGGTCGATCCAGAAATTATTGCAAAAGCTAAAATACCCAAACTGATTTTTTTTTCTATTAAAATGCTCAGTGAAAGAATATTTTATGAGACATATATGCTGGAGTCATTTTACACAAACACAAGTCTAACTCATACAGTAAAAGAGTCTATTCTTGATGGAAAAGCTGGACAATATCGTAAATATAAATTTTTTAAATATAACTCTTTACATAATATGTGATATAAATATATTTATGATATAAATATATATATGTTTGCTCTAAAAGTTTAAGAGTTTAACATATGAACAAAATAACTTACTAGAGAGAGTAGATTTTAAATGTTTAATGCAAGAATTGAAATACAAACACCACTTCTTTCCCCAAGAAAACAATACATTTATATGTACCAGTATAACAATGCAGAGTTATAATTAATCAGAAAACATATCATGCAGAGACTTAAAGTGCAAAGGAATCAAAGAAATTGTTTTAAAATGATTAACTGAAGCAGCAGTTTAGAACAAACGATTCACTGGAATGACAATGTAATTGTCACAAATTTGGTTTAGTTTGCTAACAAAATCCTAGTGAATAATTCTATAATGTAAATATTCTATACATTGCCATGGCCTAACTGCTTCACTAATTAAGTTTTATTTTAACCAGACAACTGTTTAATTGAAAACTTGGTAACACTTTACAATATGTGTGCACTAATATGCATTACTTCACGCTTAACTAATACACAGATATTTATTAGTTAATGTATGACTGATAAAGAACTAAACCATTCATTAATGATTACAACAAATAAAGAGTCTGTCTGATTAATAGATTACCGGTAAGTAATATATGAGTTGCTATTAATTAAATGTCTGTAACAAAAAACGTTTTATTCTAGTTTAATGCATTCTTTTTTTTATCAACACTTGAATGTAGGTATGTTTCATAAAATAAGCAACAATTTGAGCAAAAAGCTGAGAAAAACGTGTTTGGGATGGGATTCAGGCCACATTTACACACAGCCGGGTATTAAGAGAAACGAATACCCCCCCCTCCGTTTTCAATAATAACATCTTGCACACAACATCGTTTTCCAAAAAGTTGTCATTTACATCAACCCGCATAAATACGTCGTCGAGCGCCATCATAACTATTCCAAACTCACATGACGTTAAGCAGTTTCTGGCACATAATGTGACATTTGAGAACCTAAAACCCCGTTTCTCCCAGTTAACACGGGAACACAACCGGCGTTATCAGACATCTCCACTTTGGCCGGAGTTTTTAGAAATAATCGTTTTCTGTGATAAAAACAGGGTTTTCGTGTGAATGAGAGGCCAAACCGCAGGGAAATATCTGCATCTTCCCTTTGTGTAAAAGGGGCACCAGAATGATGATCAAAACACAGATGGAGTAGATTGAGTCCATCAACACCCCCAAAGCTTCACAGTCCTATAGCTCGTCCTGGGTCAACATTTTATTCTGTAACATTAGGCAGTTTTGATTTATATGCTGTTTAATATTGATGGTCACGTTATTTTACATATGCATAAGCTTACATATGCTATCGCTTGTTTCTGCTTCTTCTTCGCCTATGTTTTGATCAGGAGATTCAGTACTATGGGGTGAGAATTGTTGCATTATTCCAAATCAATAGATTATGATCCACAAATAAATGTAAAGAGATTCACAAAAATATATCAAATTCAGAAATAAATAGATTAAGATCCACAAATAAATGTAAAGAGTTTCACAAAAAATATAAAAAAACTCACAAATAAATAAAATGAGATTTGCAAATAAAAAAAATATATTTACAAATGTTTTTTTATGCCACAAACACAACTCTGCCTGGCATTTATTTGTGAACCGCTTTCTGTGGATTTGTAAATCCCCTCACGCATTTGTGGATTTTGAAACACTTCTAGCGTCGAGGTGCAGACAAATCCACAAATAAGTGGACTCCACCCACCGTTTCCTCAAGCCAATCAGATAACGGCCACATTGAGCTGACCAATCGTAGCACGTTCTCGCTACAACCAATCTCGTTTGGTTGTATCAATGAATCATCTGCATTGGCTCAAATAGAAAGTCTAAGGCTAAGGCCCATAATATTGCTACAGTAAAATATGTTTAAAATTTGGATTTCGTTAGAGTTAGACCATTAGACTGTGTATCAAGCCAAGACACATTTTTATGAGCCTTTGAAAATGCAAGAGAAACAGCGCATACATCTCTGTTGGGAACAACGCATTATGGAAGCGTCACGTTATTCATGGTAAAACAGAAAAGCATCAATATTGCTGACTAATGAATAACTGGATTCAACCTCGTGATAAATACGCGAGTTTGTGTAATATAGGTGAAATTACTGTCCCCAACAGCTTTTCCCACTTCTTCAGGCAAGTTTTAAATACGCAGCAGGTCCGTGGATCTAATGATCCATAGTAACGTTACATTAAACATGTATCATGCATTTAAAAGTGAAATGCCCAGCAGACAAGCTATTTGCATTTATTTATCCGTTAAAACACTTGATCACACAATTAATAGTTCATATGAATCAGACTTAATAATATTTTATTGTAAAAGTTACTTACAGCATCCAAAATGAATGCAAAAATGTATTTTTTCATGATCCACTCAAAACCCCAGTAGCCTACATGCTACATCTTCAATGATGGTCATTTGTGCTGATATTTGGTATTCTACATAATATTTATGTCATATAGCTATCTATTTGTCACCACGATTGTACTTTAGACAAAATCATCCGTTTTGTAATTTCTTACATCGTGTCTACCCCGTGCGAGTCTGTCTAACGTTACACTGGACAAAGCAAAGGTGCAAATGATGTGTCCTCCGTGTAGCCGCTACTTCAGAAGAAGAACGGGCATCCGTTTACTATCAATGAATCATCGTGTCGCGCAATTATGAATTATGCATGTAGCCAGCACTAGTCAAGAAGGAAGATTAGACATGTCATATATCATGTCATATATCTGCAGGTAAGAAAATGTCATGGGCAAAATGTGTTAACATTACAAACATGTCAGTTCCCTATCGGTCAGTCACTACAACGTAGGTCAGACTGACCAATAGGAATCTCACTAGAGAGCCAATTTACTTCGAGTGAATCTAAAACAAGCCAATGCACATTGGCGTGCAATCATTTGCAACAGCTGCGCGTCCTCGTCAGCGCGGGTATATAACGAGCGGCTGTGTGATTGCACTTCAGCTTTTTGCTTCGGAGCCTAAACTTCGATGCCTCTGCTTAGAGTGACTTCTTTCTACAAGCAAACTCTCTCTCTGGTACGTGTGTCACGGCGCGACAGCGTGGACAGATCTCCTCTCTCCGGGCGAAGAAACCCAAAAGCTGTTTTCACAGCTGGTAAAACTAAGCACGAGAGCTGATCAGCGCACGTACGGGTGCACATTCCCGGCCGTGATCGTCTGCATCTGTCCCCCTGTGTGCCTCAGTATCAGCGAGAGCTGTTCCTAAAGGAGCTTACACAGATAGTTTGCGTCTTTTTAAAGATGACATTCTATCTGTGTGTTTCTGGATGCGGTCGTTACCTGGGATCGCGGGATGGTCACGAACGCTGTCTTGTGTGTCTGGGCTTACAACACGCACAGGCAGCGTTCGTGGATGAGTCATGCACCCATTGTGGGAAGATGACCATCTCGGAGCTGAGGTCGAGACTCTCGTTCCTGCAAAGGGGCGGAGTCCCCGTGCCGGCGCCCCGTTCCAATCCTCCTGCGAGGGTTGCTTCGGACGCTGGCGCGGGTGACCTGAGGATTACAGTGAGCGCGCTTCCTTCGGGGAACCAACCCCCTAGGAACCCTCACTCCTCTCAGCCTCCGCAACCATGTGAGCTGCCAAAGGAGCGCGCTGGACCATCCACGAGGTGTGTACCAACCGTTTCCTTTGGCGCTCCCGGCGATGAACAGATGTCGATCGCGGCATCGGAGGGTGGGTCAGATGTCTCTGCGGACGACGTGTCGGAGCCGCTGCCTCCTTCGGGGGTGCCAGCGGTGCCCGATACGGACCCGGAGATGATGGCCATGCTTTCCCGGGCCGCCGAGAGGGTCGGACTCGTGTGGAACCCCCCACCGGGTCCCGAACCCTCGAGGCTGGACGATTGGTATCTCGGGGTGGCGCGTGCTGGCTCTCAGCAACCCACCCCAGTGGCTTTCTTCCCAGAGGTGCATGAGGAGCTCACTGGGACGTGGACGGCACCTTTTACTGCCCGAAACTGCTCCAGTAGTTCCTCCTCCCTCACCACCCTTGACGGCGGGGCAGCTAAGGGTTACGCGCGCATCCCGCCGGTGGAGTGGGCCGTTGCTATGCAACTGTGCCCTAACTCCACTTGGCGCGGAGAACCGTGTCTCCCTTCCCGGGCCTGTAAGTACTCGTCGGACTTAACCGGCAAGGCTTACAAGGCCTGTGGGGAAGCTGCCTCTGCCGTGCACGCTCTGGCGTTGCTCCAGGTCCATCAGGCCAAGGCACTGAAGGAACTGGACGAGGGTGGTCATGACCCACTGGTGTTCCAAGAACTCCGGCGGGCGATGGACCTCGCACTTCGTGCGACGAAGGTTACCGCTCGCTCAGTGGGCCGTGCGATGTCCACAATGGTGGTCCAGGAACGCCATCTCTGGCTGTGTCTGGCTGACATGCGGGAGACCGACAAGCTCCGGTTCCTCAACGCCCCCGTGTCCCAGACCGGCCTCTTCGGCGACGCGGTCGAGAACTTCGCCCAGCAGTTCTCGGCTGTACAGAAGCAGACTGAGGCCATCAAACACATCCTGCCTCGGCGGTCAGCTGCTGCCTCCACCCCACCGCCGGCGGCTCCTCAGTCTGCTCGTCGCCGGGGGCGTCCGCCTGCGCCCTCCCCGGCTCCCGCGCCGCAGCAGCCTCCACCAAAGCGGCGCCG